ACTAAACAGAAGGCAAAGAACTACTGGAGTAAACTACCATTGTTTCTACAGGTGAACAGGTCAAAAATTTTATTGGGTTTCCTATTATCTCGGGTGATATAATTCAGACTCACAGGAATTAAAAATGTGATTTAACCTTGCCTCTCCCCCAGGGATGGCCGGTGCACTGAGACATCAAGGCATGGGCGTGGCCAGAGAACGCACTAACTGTGGCCGGAGCCCCAGTAACTGTCATTGACCAGGCTTTCCAGAACCATTCCTGACCCGGCATAACGCCACGTGAGGCTCACGGAGCCACGCTGAGCATCATGGGTGGGATGTGCAGCCACCGTCACCCCCACGCTGCAGGGACTCGTCTTGACTGGTTCTTGGCCACCGCACTGCAGCCACAAGGTAACCACCCGCTGCCGCCACTGCCACTCCAAGCGAAGAGAAGCTAATGATGCTTCTGCTGTTAGGAACTAAGCGAATTATTTAAATATTCATCTCCTGGGATAAGCGGGTTTGCAGCCAGGGCTTTGTTCTACATTAACGCTCACAAAAGGTCTGTGGAGAGCTACCTAAAAAGCTGTCCAGCTTCTGAAACGATAACACAAAACGGGGGTGGGGGAGACTATACAGATGTTCACGAGGGTAAACTGTTAGAAAAACTAAAACATTTCTTTAATGGGTTTCAGAAAGCTGAGATAGAGTTGTTTATCCATATTTTCAAAGACACCTAGAAACAAGAAAAAATGAACTCTGGAAACCAGTATGCTTAGAGACAAACTACGTGAATATGTTCGTATGTGCCTAGAAATAAGAACAAGCATTTATTTAGTATTTATGTGTCAGATCCCTACCCAGTGGAATGTCTCACGTAACGTCCCCTAAATCCTTCAAGCTGCATGCTAACACGTCCTCTTCACAGGTAAAGAAACAGAAGCTTGGCGGGGTGTCCAAGGCTACAGGCTTACAGGTGGAGGTGAAGGAGTGCCAGTCTACAGGGTTGGCTCCCAGAGTTTGCTCATGGACACATCACCAGCTCCAAGTTGCTCGATTGCCATGTTTTTCTCAAGTTAAAATGCAAATTCCATGTTTAAGCTAAAAGCTAACAAGCAATCTTTTTATCTCACGGAAGTAATTTAATCTAGCTTGGCTTTGGTGGAAAAGACAAACAGGCTGTGGGGAAAGCAAAAAGAATATTGCTGTTAGCCGGGAAGAGCAATGCCACGGCTTGAGCCCTGCGCTGCTCTGCACCCCGAGGCGGTCCTCACAGCGCCCAGGGACGTGGGGACGGCTGTTGCACACTTCCCGGTGCCATCACGGTTTCCCATCTCTCTCACAGAGGCCAAGGAGTCATTCACACAAACAACGGAAAGTCTCCAACTGCCAGCTCCCGGGAACCGAGAAACACTCACAGGGACAAAGCCACCACAGGTAACAATGTTGCTGGGCGTGGAAACTGCCCGCCAAATGCTTCTGCTCTCCTTCAGTTTTAGCATCTGCTGGACTCGGATTAAATTCTGAGGGCGACGCCGAAGTCCGCTTCCAGAAACAGCCACCGCTGTCTCAATGGAAGTGTCCCTGCTTTGTCCCCAGGCTCTCAGAGGCGGGGTGTGTGTGTGTGTGTGTGTGTGTGTGTGTTCCACGGCGGCACTGAGGGAGCATTGCGCCTGGATCGTGGGGGAATGAGGGGGCTGGATCCGGAGACCACAAGTCCACAAGACCAGTGAAATCTCTGGGTGGACCCCAGGTGAGAATAACAGAGAGACAGGCAGCTCAGGGCCAGCAGGAAAAAAATACAAAGCATCCCAAAGTGGCGATTCAAATGCAGGGTGGACGCCATCACCCTTGAAGTTTCCAGCCCACGGGATGTGACATCCGGGATCAGAGCGCTGGATCCAACTCCCTGCTGATGCAGCTGGGAGAGCAAGTGCTTGGGCCCCTGCCATCCATGTGGGAGACCCAGATGGAATTCTGGGCTTCTGGCTTTGGCCTGGCTGCTGTGTCCATCTGGGGAGTGAGCCAGCAGATAGAAGGTCTCTCTCTCTCTCTCTCGATGTCACTCTCTTTCAAATAAATAAATCCTAAAAAACAAGAAGCCCAACTGGCCAACCACCTCTCTCTGCCCACTCCACAGGCTGCAGTGTGGATTCCCGGCTACCACAGCTGCACCTCGGGCCCCTGCCTGGCTGAACTTTATTTTCCTGTTTCTCTTCATCTCTTCTAAAGATCAGAGAGATCCAACCACAAGTTTAAAACTGACCCTAACAAAAGCCTAGGTTTTACTGATACAGGAGGCTAATAGCTCCGCTGTGTTGTTGATGTTCCAGGGAGATAAACAGCGAAAACTTGGCAAATGCTAATGTAAATATCACCCCCTCCCACCCGCTCATTCCTGATGACTGCACTCATTCCTGGGGAGTGAGCGACGGGCAGAGTCCACCAAGCAGAGCAGGGCATCCTAACCCTGTCAGACGCACCAGGCTACCAAAGAGAACTGAAGGGGTGTAGGCTACGTGTGGCCATTTAGGGGAATGACAGGTAATTCTCTCCCCCGAGAACCACTGCTGTGTGAGGACCAGATTCCTTTCTTTACTTTTTTATTTTTTTTAATTTATTTTTTTTGACAGGCAGAGTTAGACAGTCAGAGAGAGAGAGAGAGAGAGAGAGACAGACAGACAGACAGAGAGACAGAGAGAGAGAGAGAAAGGTCTTCCTTTTTCCATTGGTTCATCCCCAGAGTGGCTACTATGGCCGGCACGCTGCGCTGATCCAAAGCCAGGAGCCAGGTGCTTCCTCCTGGTCTCCCATGCGGGTTCAGGGCCCAAGCACTTGGGCCATCCTCCACTGCACTCCTGGGCCACAGCAGAGAGCTGGCCTGGAAGAGGGGCAACCGGGACAGGACCGGCGCCCCAACCGGGACTAGAACCTGGGGTGCCGGCACCACAGGCAGAGGATTAGCCTATTGAGCCATGGCGATGGCCCATCAGATTCCTTTCAAACCCTGAAAGGTTGCCTGTCAGTCTTGATCTTTTTCCATTTAACTCTGATGCAAAGCCAAGGAAACCTGGGCATGTGGCTGGTAACTGGCATGACTTGTGGGGTTTGGTAGGCGATCCAGAATCTCTCCAAGGCCAAGAGGCAGAACACTTTACCATAGAACAGGCATGTCTAAGACAATCCAGTACAGATGAGGTCCCCCAGAAACAGAGAACTAGTAGCTGGTTAGGCACTATGAAGATGGCCATAACAGCGAGATCATCCATCCGCTGGCCGCAACAGCCAGGACTGTGCCAGGCGAAAGCCAGGAGCCTGGAACTCCATCCGAGTCTCTGAAAGCACGTGGGCCATCTTCTCCTGCCTTCACAGGAAGTAGGAACAGGAGCAGGGCAGCAGGGACTCGTACGGGCATTCTCAAATGGGACGCCAGCATCGCAAGCGGTGGCATACGTCGCTGCACTGCAACACTGGTCCTAGTCATAAGTTTTCTAAAGGAAAACTGGGCGGGCAAAGGCTCAGAGTTCAAATCTATAGAGAGAGGCTATAGTTAAATAACTATGAAATGGCATTTTCTCTCTATTTACAAGCACTGAGAGAGCAGATCATAGACCACGATGTGTAGGACGAGCCCATTCTTATACACCATGCACACACTTAGCAGTAGGCAGATCTCGGTTTCAGAGCCCCGCTCTGCCATCACCAGGATGGGACCCCTGTTAAGTCACTAATTTCTTTCCATCAAATGTTATTAAGAGAGGAGAAGGACGGTAAAAGGAGGAAGAACAGTAGCAGCCCCTTTGCTTATAGGTTGCCCTAAGAATTCAGTGAGCCAGGTAAAGGGCTTAGACAACTCACACATTCAGTAATACCATTCCCACCATCTCTGGAGAGTGGATTTTACACACTGTTTTTTGCTCATTCAAGCTTCTGACTTATTACCACGATCATGGATTATTTCTGTTGTTTCTTTTTAAAAAGATGAAACCGTGATGGATGACAAGGGCTGTTTGAGGATGAAGGCAAAGTACAGCATACACGTGGGCTCAGCCTGACAGCCCCTGGGGAGAAACAGTCAAGCACCCTTCCACAGATGAACGGATAAACGAAACGCGACACATCCACACCATGGATTGCTGGTCGGCCATCAAAAAGATGGGGGTTCTGACATCTGCCACAGCACGGATGAACCTCGAAAACACCCTGCAAGTTAAGGAAAGCAGACAGAAAGGGACGCGTATTGCATGAGTGCGCTTCCATGAGCTATCTGGAAAAGATAAACTCATCAGGACAGAGAGCAGATGAAATCCTACGGGGCCCCAGGGTAGGAGGGCACAGAGAACTATTGCTTAACGGTTTGGGTTTCTGTTTGAAGTGATGAAAATATTTTGGAAATAGATAGTTGTCATGGTTGCAAAACACTCTGAATGTAATTAATGTCCCTGAATCGTGCACTCAAAAATGGCAAACTTCACGTCATGTGTTTTAGCTGGTTTTACAGATTAACAGTGTACCCGAAAACACTGAATTACATACTTTCAGTGAGTGAACGCGACAGTCGATGAATTATACATCACGAGCTGCTGAAACAAACAAAACACGACGGCTCTGAATCCCAGCCGGCAGCTCACCGAATGTGAGCACGGATACAGCCGAACAGCCCTGGGCGTCACTCCTCATCCTTCACACGAGGGTAACTGCCTCTATGAAGTAGGTTGTGAAGGGCACAGGAAATACAGAGAGCGCAGCAGAGTGCTTCTACTAACTGCGGCGGCCATCATCCTCGTCCTCCTTACACGACGGCCCATTCCGGAAGATGCGTGAACCACTTACTGACCCCCGGTGTCACCCATCCTCACCAGTATGGCGGATCCAGAGACACCCGGGAGGGGCCGTCCGGCAGATGTAACTGTGGGAGAGCCCCCTCCTGCATGTCCCATGAATAACTCCTCCCCTCCCCCTCCTTATCCAGTGGGCGGGACCAGCCCAACCAACAGCTCCTTACCAGAGACTTCAGAGGGTGCAAAACCCTGCTGCGGAGGCTCCGTGAGCACCTGGGACCTCCCACCTGAAAGCAACCCAACCGCCCACGGAAACAGGGTCCCCTCCTTAAGGATCACGCATTCTAGAATCATCTGTGTGGACGCCATGGTAACCATGATAACGAAACAAGCCAAGGAACTGCAGACTGCTGGTTCTTGATCTCAAGAGCTCAACCGACCCGGCCCCTTCGCCCGTTTCTCACGGCAGCTCCTCCTTCCAATCTTCCCCTCATTTCCCCCAGGCTGGATCCTGGCCAACTTCTCCTGTTCTCCCACAGAGCTGAGGCCCGGCCCGGGACCCTGGGGTGTGGCGGTGGTGAGGTTCTGTGACATGGATCATAATGCCCACGGCACGTATGGGGAGGGGCCGGCTGGTGACCTCTGAGGAGTAGGCTGTGCACTGTGGTTGTAACCAGTGGCTGCGGGCCAGCTCGTGCCTAACACCATAGCCGTGTATTACAGATGCCTCGGAGCGAAGAGCAACTGTTTAGAAAGCTGTCCCTGGACCTTTAATGAGGATTGATGGAAGGAGATGAGCACGGAAGAACGAAGCCGTCGTCTAGAGCGAGGCCGCCGTGGGGGCTGCACCCGGGGCCGCGGGGCCTTTCCACACAGTGACTGCCGCAGACCCAGGAGGAGCCGCCTGCCCCACGGCTGGCAGCGTGCTGTTAGCTCTGGTCCGGGAAGAGTTGTTCTCAGGGTGTGCTAGCTTCCCACACGAGAATATCTTTAGATGAGAAACCAGGCCCGCAGGGGCAAGCGGTGCTGGAAATACACAGAGGTGCAGAGTGCATGGGGGCGGGGGGTGTTTCCTGAGTGCACGGCGGGACAGCGAGCCCGCGTGGCCTTTTAAGGCTGCAGCGCCGCCGTGCCATCGGCACCGTCACCCTTGCACTTGGCATGATGCAGCTTTAACCCTCCTCTTCATTTCTGCGGGTGAGAAGACACCCAAAGCCAAGCTGCACGGCCGGGTTCTCTCCGGCCACTCAAGGTCCCTTCTCACCCATCTCCTTCAGTTCCCGACACCTTCCGAATCCAAGGCAACTGTAACTGCACTAAGGATTCCATCGCCTTCGAGAATCCGTCACACACCTCCAGCTCACCTCTGATCGGGTGTTAAGAGTTATGGTTTCCCTGAACAAAGTCACTTCCACACCCCCGAACTTTCCAAGTTGTTCTAATGGACCGGAATGCAACTCATTTACACCCAGGACTAGCTGCAGGAAGGGCGGGTTTGCTTAGGAGAACCAGCCGTCACGGCCAGCAGGGCTGAGCTGAACCATTCAGTCACAGAGGCTCCCCACTCTTCAGAGCCATTCCCACAAACCGAGATCATGAAGGGCGCTCAGGTGAGCGCGGGATTAGCCTTGCTCCTTGAAGCCCAGGGAGCAAAGAGGTCACTAAGAGTTAAGTCTCTGGGTGTATGGAGTTTGGTTAGTAGGAGAGAAAGTGGCGCTAATATAATTAACTTATGAAGTGTTCCACTTCTACTATGCATCTGACATTATGCAAAGTCTACACCTTACTTCTCAGTGAGCCTGGGGATGAGAAACTAACTGGCAATTTCTCATACGGACTGAATACAGATCTACAGCGGTAGCCGACCCGTGCGGGAACTAACTCACGGGTGGAGAGACAAACTACACGGGAGACTTGAGGTGACTTCTGCAGGACAGGCAGCTAATTTGAAAAGGAACTGAATTAATGGCCAGGGGATGGGCACTCCAGGCACAGGGCACAGGGGTCTTCACATGCCTCCCCAGTACTGAGCAGTGCTGGAGAACGGCTCAGGAGAGCGCAGCAGCTGGGATGAGCGTCGAGACAGAGAACGCGAAGGGCCCACAGGCTGAGCTAAGGGGGTGAGACTCTGTCCAGGGCAACAGGGCTCTTCTCGTGTCACTGCAGGGATCCGCCACCCAGTGAGCAAGCCACACGTCTCCGATCATTCTCAGTAAGTGGATACACTTCACCGTGTGGATTCAGGAGAAAAGCCTCAGAGCACCCAGGCCAGCGGGAGCAGCCGGGACCAGCAGCAGTGGCGCCCTGGGGGCTCAGGCCTGGGCCCATCACGTACGCTTTCCTATTGCAGGCTTCACCGCCACCTCTGCTCCTCTCCGGCAGTCTCCGGTCTGCTGACCTCGAGTCTCGCGACTGCCTCACTTTAGAGAGTAACACAGCTCCTTCCAGCAACCAGAAGTGACGGGCTTTGCTTCCAGTCCACTGCCCGAGAGCGCCCATTGTTGCTCCAGTCCAAGTCTCGCTCTGCTACCTGACGCTCTGCTTTATGCCTCCTGAACGTTCAGCCCGCGTCAGGGAGGAAGCCAGCGGGTTCGGAAAGGCCACCCTCTACGTCCGTTTGCCCTACCAGGTAGCACTTAAAATACATAAATAGGGATGACGAGGGGAGGAAAAACAGGCCTTTCTGAAGTTTCTGCAGAATTGCTTTTGCAGATTTTTCCACTGTGGGGGCAGGGGAAGGAGGGGGGGGTCAAGTGAAGGGATTACATGATCTAAAATGGCTTCTGAAATAATCACACAGCTTCCTGTTTGCCCATCTCCTTTGCTGATATGGAGCCTGGGGTCTCGGGAGAGGCCAGTCTAATATTTTAGACTTCTAAAGAGTTCTCTCGGATTTAAACCTGAAGTGGGAGACTGCTAATTGCGAAATTTAACTTCTACCCAAAATGACTACCTTAAAAACTTAGCTCAACCTTTGTGTCTCTGTGTGCCAAAAGTCACGTTAAATGCCTATTTTAGGAAAAGAACTTAAGTGCGTTTGGGAATCGTTTACTACCTAATAAAATGGCTTAGGGAATAACTTACTGACAAGGTTTATCAAACACATCTAGACTGACTTTCTTCATAAATATACCCAATGATAAATTAAGAGAAAAGTTTTAGGAAAAAACGGCGTGTTTGGGTGAAACGACAGATTACACAGGGAACGTTCCCACGGGATTCCAGCTTTGGTCTCTTTCAAAGATAGCGTTAATAATGATCTTTAAAGGGCACGGGGGAGGCATTACAAAAATGTGCTCAAACTGGCAAACTTTACAATTAAGATTATAAAACCGCTGATGTGGCCAAATGTGCATTTTGAAAAATACACAGGATTAGACAATGAATTAGTAGACTTAAGTAATGATCATTGGTCAGTAACAGATACGGGCACTGTTCTGGAAAAATCACTTTTACACCTTTAACTTCTCCTATGCTCACTGTTCATTTCCTTCTCATCGCCGCCTTTATTTCTTCCTATCATTGCTCCAGGATGAAGGAGGAGACCAGGGCCATGTATGAGATGGAGGCAGGACTCACACACTGGAGTTCTAGGTGTGAATCTCCTTAAAGTCTCAGATACTCCAGCTGCAGTAGCAAGTCCGATCTCAGCGGGACCCTGCGAGGCTGCTAGCAGTAAAAGGACAACGAGTGACTGCACGGTTTCTGCTGGAAGGACTCAGGACCAGTATAAAGCAGTCTTGCCGCAGAAGAATGAAGTGAGTCTGATCAAGGTTTCCTAATTACTAATTTACAGAAAATACAGAAACAGACGCACTAATCAACCCAAAGATGCACTCAACATCATCCACACTACAGAGAACTATGACAAATAATCTGAGTTCCCCACCAAACTGCAAGGGAAAAAAAGGAGAATGAGAAGGACTATATCGACAGCTAAAGGAACAATGAAACACAAAGACAGGATGGATTTGGGCCTCGATTCAATCAAACAATAAAACATTGTATTTAAAATAAATATTTAAAATCTTTCTGCATTTGAATATATTTGAAATTTTCCATACCTCCCCCTAAATTTAAGAAATCACCATTAAAAACCACAACGCTTAAAGCAAGCTAACAGTCCACGTGTAAACTCTGCTGCCTGTCTACGCCCCTGGGTATCCACCAGTAGGGCCACAGCAGTTGCCACTCAGGTGTGAGGGATCCTTCTAAAACCCCAGTGGGTACCTGAAAGCATGGGTACACACACACTGTGCCACCCCCCCACCCCCATGCATAACTCGGGTAAAGCTGAATGATACATTAGGAACAGGAAGAGATTACTAACAGCAGTAGTGAAACAGAACAACGGCTGGCGCCGCGGCTCACTTGGCTAATCCTCTGCCTGTGACGCTGGCACTCTGGGTTCTAGTCCCGGTTGGGGTGCCGGATTCTGTCCCAGTTGCTCCTCCAGCTCTCTGCTGTGGTTCAGGAGTGCAGTGGAGGATGGCCCAGGTCCTTGGGCCCTGCACCCGCATGGGAGACCAGGAGGAAGCACCTGGCTCCTGGCTTCGGATCGGCGCAGCGCGCCAGCCGTGGCAGCCATTTGGGGAGTGAACCAACAGAAGGAAGACCTTTCTCTCTGTCTCCCTGTCAATGATATGCTCTAGTGAAAGTTTGCGTGAATGTGGCTTCTCTCTCATAGTCTTCCTGAACGGTGCCCACCCTTCTCAGGACCACTGGAGAGGACTCCCTGCCTCTGTGGTGCCGTGCAGTGAGGCCAGTGAGGTGGGCACTGTGACCTTACGTAAGGTTATGTGAACATGGGCAGGCAGCACGTACCATGTGCAAAGGTGGACAAAGGCACTGCTTACTTCCCTATTTATAGTGCTTTCAAATATGTATACAAGCTAATTAACACCTACATTACCTCCCATACTTGTTTTTTGTTTCAAGAATACTTGAAGGCCAGCACCGCGGCTCACTAGGCTAATCCTCCGCCTTGCGGCGCCGGCACACCAGGTTCTAGTCCCGGTCGGGGCGCCGGATTCTGTCCCGGTTGCCCCTCTTCCAGGCCAGCTCTCTGCTGTGGCCAGGGAGTGCAGTGGAGGATGGCCCAGGTGCTTGGGCCCTGCACCCCATGGGAGACCAGGAAAAGCACCTGGCTCCTGGCTCCTGGCATCGGATCAGTGCGGTGCGCCGGCCGCGGCGGCCATTGGAGGGTGAACCAACGGCAAAAGGAAGACCTTTCTCTCTGTCTCTCTCTCTCACTGTCCACTCTGCCTGTAAAAAAAAAAAAAAAAAAAAAAAAGAATACTTGAAATCTACTCTTAATAACTTAAGTAGATAATACACTGCTATTAACTACAGTCACCATGTTGTACAACAGATCTCTTGAAATTATTTCTCCTAACCGGAATTCCTACATCTCTCCTCTCTCTCACCAGTCTGCCTAAAGGGCCTAAGGCATCGGAATCAGAAACTCAATTAGATGGCTGCATTCCCATGATGATCCTAGCATTAGCCACAAAACCTATATGTCCACCCACGGGTGAACGGACACAGAAAACGTGGTCCACGCATACACTGGAATGCTAGTCATCCCTTAAAACATTCACGTAAGAGGCATCAGGATGGATGAACCAGGAGGACATGATGCTAAGTAGAATACGCCACACAGTAGAGGATGAATACTATATGATCATAGTTACAGAAGAAACCCAAAACCGTTCTTTAAAAACATTTATTTTATTTATTTATTTGAAAGGCAGAGCCAGGGTGGGGGCGGGGTGGGGTGGGTGCATCATTCCCCAAATGGCTGGGGCTGGGCCAGGCCAAAGCCAGGAGCCTGGAAGTCCATCTGGGTTTCCCACATGGCCGGCACAGACCCCAAGCACTTGGGCCATCTTCTGCCACTTCCCCAGGCTCATTAGCAGGGAGCTGGATCAGAGACAGAGCAGCAAGGACTTGAAGTGGCACACATTATGGGATGCCAGCTTAACTGGCTGCACCATTAGCACCAGCCCCACAAAATACCTTTAAATATAATACTAGGGGCTGGTGCTGTCGCGTAGCGGTTAAGGCTGCCGCCTGCAGTGCTGGCATCCTATATGGGTGCCAATTCGAATCCTGGCTGCTCTGCTTCCGATCCAGCTCTCTGCTGTGGCCTGGGAAAGCAGTAGAAGATGGCCCAAGTGCTTGGGCCCCTGCACCCACGTGGGAGACCCAGAAGCTCCGGCCATTGTAGCCAATTGGGGAATGAACCCTCGGATGGAAGCCCTCTCTCTCTCTCTGTGTTGTGTAACTCTTTCAAATAAATAAGTAAATCTTAAAAAAAAATAAATATAATACTAGCTCTGAGGGAGAGAGGGAAAGCAGCACTCCCATGTCGAGCACCTACCAAGTTTCCATGTGCATACCAGCCATCAGACTTGATGGAATTAATCTACTCTTCATAAACAGAAGATGAGAGAATCAGAGTTCAACCTGAGGCTCAAGTGTGTCTAATCTCTTGGGGGAAAAGGTCAGTGAACCCAAACAGATCTGTACAGTCATGGTTCTGAGATGCAATCAAATACTCAGTAATATTAAGAAACAACTAAAGGGCTTGTACAAACAAAGAGAAAACGTCAAACAAACCCACCCAGAACGTCTTCCTGTCTACACATCCCCCTTTCAAGAACCAAGGTCAGGTGTTAAAACAAGCAGAGAAGACAAGACATGTTCCAGGAATATTCTCTCAATGGCACACGGCTACAAAGCTAACATTTCACACTAATCTAAATATTTAACTTTCTGCCCCCCGAGCTTATTTTAAAGCATCTAGTCAATAGGATTGCTCCGTCTGTGTTACGTTTACTTTACAGGCAGACTCCTTTACGAGATAAAGTTCCTTTCTTTTTTAATTTGATGAACATTCTGGCTATTACATGTCTTGCCTTTCCACTTTTGATTTCACGGAGGGAAACTGCTAGGCACGTAGAACCAGTTTTCATTACTCTTCTGCTGACACAACCTCGAGAAGAGGAGGAAAAGAAGAAATCGCACATAATCTGTAATCGCAGTGAAATACCACAGTTCCTGAGTATTAACTTCTAAAATCCTACAGTATGTTTCGTTTCCAAACATCTTATCCTCAGCAGAGCTGCCGAGCTGGGTTTTTCTGCAGATGCTCTGCATCCTGGGCACTTGGGGAAGCACACTGAGGCTGGCCTGAGCCCACACGAGGTGGGCACTCCAAAGCTCTGGCCGCTGGGAAATGGTGCTATTTCCTCCCATCAGTAAGATGCCACCCCAACCGTGCCCCTGGGCAATCAGAGAAGAAACAGGACTTGTCGTCCTCTGCAAGCACCTGTGAACACAGACGCTTCCCAACCACACTCAAGAATAACGAAAGGGACTGAAAAAACAAATGAAAACAACAAACAGTGACCACACATGAGGGACGAATCTCTCCTGCTGAAAATCTGCAATAAATGGGAAAAATAATGAAGTCAGCTTTCTTTGAGGAACTATACTTGAGGAAAACAGAATTACAAAAATCATCATCGTGCTATTGGAATAATGACAAGATCAATGGATGAAACCACAATGGGACGCATTATGCAGTACACAGCACCTGCAGCGATGCATTCTCGCCCAAGAACTGCAAACCTGAATTAACCAGGCCTTTCTGAACAATGAAGCCATTAAGTTTACAGAAAGTAAAGGGGACACGGGAACAAGCCAAAGGATACCAAAAAAGGAAGGAAACAGACAGATTCAGAAGGAGGGCCCTTTCCCAGAAGGCAGCCGCTTTTCTCGGCAGACCAGTGACATAGTTAGGGAAGAGAGGCTGTGCAGATGAGAGGCACTGCAGACACAGAGCAAGCACACTGACCCAGCACAGACTGAGAGGACAAGGGCAAAGCCATGATTCTAAACAGTGGGGAAACTTGGTAACTATTAAATATGAACGATGGGCTTCTGGGATTGATTGTAACAGTCTCTCTATAGTTTGGTTTATTTGAAAATGGTTGGCGGGGAGGAAAAGCTGGTGCTATATAGTAGTGGGTTAAGTTTCTGCCTGCAGTGCCGGCATCCCATGTGGGTGCCGGTTGGAGTCCCAGCTGCTCCACTGCCGATCCAGCTCTCTCTATGGCCTGGGAAAGCAGTGGAAGATGGCCCAAGCACTCATGTGGGAGACCCGGAAGAAGCTCCCGGTTCCTGGCTTCAGGTGGGCCTGTCTTCGGCTGTTGCAGCCATTGGGGCATGAACTAGTGGATGGAAGACCTCTCTGTCTGCAACTCTACCTCTCAAATAAATAACAGAGTTGGACTGGAAGAGGAGCAGCCAGGACTCAAAATGGCTCCCAGATGGGATGCCAGTGCTGCAGGCCGGGGCTTTAACCCACTGTGCCACAGTGCTGGCCCCAATATATCTTTAAAAAAAGAAAATACAAAGAGTGAGAGAAAGTGAAACGTCCCTCTCTGCCAAAAAGAACTCAAACACAAACCACGGAGACACCCATCTCCTCTGTATTGTGACTTTAAAAAGCATTTTCTTCTGTAAACTTGCAAAGCGGACTGTGGACACGGACGCCCCATGCCAAATGCGATTTCTGTTATCCAGGGTCTGCTTGCACCAGCAAACACACCTCATCTTCTTCCCCCAAGTCACTGAAGACTTTCAACAGAGGCTTTCCTTCCCAACTGAACTCGGGCCTCCGGGTGGGGCACAACAGGTGGGCGGTGTCTCATTAAAACATCTTTCTCTGCTGACCAGGAGAGAGACAGAGACGGGGAGGGGGAGAGTGAGAGGGAGAGACAGGGAAAGAGAATGTGTGTGTGTATATGTCTATGTGTATATATATACACGTGCATGTGTGTATACATGTATGTGTGTGTATATGGGTGCATGTATGTATATGTGCATATATGGGTGTGTGTATGTATGTATATGTGTGTGTATATATGTGTGTGTGTTTGGCAGGGAGGATGAGAATCAGCAATCCCCTTATTCTCTGTATGCTTTCACCCACCTGTCACATGGCTCAATGAAATGATGGCTT